GGGGAAAAGCCTTAAGAGAGTGTCACGTGCAAGTCCGGTTTATTTGTTTAGAGGTCTTTGAGCCGCTTGAACAAAGCCTCCAGAGGTATTTCTCTCTGGATAGTGAGAATAGATGTCGCTTCAGTCCGCTGCGAGAATCAGTTCACTGTGGTCCGTAATATTATTTGGATTTTTCATTCCGTCTCAGGTTGCAGCATCTACGCGTTATCGGTGTACTTCACTTCCCTGATTGGAATGTTTTCCCTGACTGCGATCTCCATCATGAGGTACATCAAGACTTGTAAGCCGCAATATGGTGAGTTTTCCTCCCCCCCTCGTAACGAGCGCTCGTCGGAAGCATGCAGACATCCTAACCGCTATCCCTGACCATCGCGACGCTCGTGCAGGGAACAGGTTGACCAGAGGCCTGGCGTGGAAGTGGATGTGGTTCATCTGGGGGTATGCAGGGGCCTGGGTGCTCATGCCGTTGCTCGGATGGGGGCAGTACGATGTGGAGCCCTATGGCCTCTCCTGCACTCTCGACTGGTGGCGCGATGATATCTGTGAGTTCGCTTCTGGGGCAGTCCTCATATCATCAGCCATGCTGGGAATTGTGATTCTTCGCTGTTTTTCTCGCAATTTATGAACGTTGCTGAGTGTTCTGCCGTCTAGCTTAGGTTCATCCTCTAAAAGCATGAAACTTCATCAAGTTGTTCAAAATTTTCTCTTTTACGATTTGTGAAGAGTAAAAGAAACAAAACAGACGTTATATTTACATTTCTAGAAATAATTACAGATAATAGGATACTGGATCCATCGCGAGAGGTTGAGCAAACAAAAAAAGAAAACCTCTCCTTGACTACGAAGTCAATAGCATGTTCCTTGCTCTCTGAAGAGAGTACGAAATTCTGTTTTGACGTGCCCTCTACACATCGACATTTGAGCCATTACCGGCTTGAAAAACTCAATTTCCGCCGAGCGATTCGTATTTGACCATGCTCCCTCGAGGCTCTCGCAAGGGCAATTCATGCAAAAGACGCTGACTTTCCCTCTAGGTGAGAAAAGGAAAGACGACGGGGAAAAAAAAATAGGACCTTTGTAAATCGATCAGACATTAAGTCTCGATAGTGCACTGAACATCTGATTTCAAATATTTTTCGTACCTTGTCCTTGAATCCTTATTCATTGGAGGGGAGGGGGGAGCCAGAAGCAGCAAGATTTGCAATTATTTCTTTCGGTTCTAATTTCCTGTGGATGCTAAATTCTGTGTGGCATCACAGCAATTCGACTTCATTTCGTTCGATTCTATCGTTTTGAAAGCACAAACGAACCATATCGACGTTGAAAAGACCTGCATTCCGAAGAACAAGTTGTGCAAGGTGTGTTGAGGAATTTTTCTCGGGAAGAAAAGCCTCGGGACGAGGGACTTGAGCGTTGAACTTTCAATACATTTCCTGAAATGTCAGGCATCTCCTGCCTACGGATTGAGGCGGAACGAGTCAGCTGTCTGTTTCTGGCCTGTTTCTTCTATATTGAAAAAGAAAAATCGAAAAGAAGCAAGAGGACATCCTCTTCGACATTACGTGAACGCCCCACGCCGAAACAAAGCATGTTCATCAGGAGTGAAACACAAACTCGCAGAGAAAAATTGTAAAAAGTTGTGCACGTAATTAAAAGCACTGAAAATGGGATTTTCCGACCTAATTCCGCATTCACGAGGCACGAGGGCACGGGTTTTCTCCGATTCGTCGGGCCAAAGCTCATCGTTCTCTTGACGGAGCATTGCCAGGGATTACTTCCAGAATGCTGGTCCAATTTCACAGAAACTCGCGGGCCTCGCAAGCAATTGGCATCTAGTGCGCCGAAGAGGAAACGACGCGTTGCTTCCGCGACTCGATCCGAAATGACCGACAAAAAATGGAAAACGAAATAACTTACTTTTTCCATCCCATTCGTTCCTCTCGCATTTTGTCGACTTGCCAGGATTTGAGGCTCGATCGGAAAGAATTATACGGAGAGTTTTTTGCACTTCGTGGAAACGAGTTTGAACCGGCTCCGGAAGTTTTCCTGGAATTTCTCGATCTGCAATAAAATTGAGAGAAAAGCCGTATGAATCACATCCAATTCAAAAGAAAACTTCAGAGGCCATTGGCATCGTTAGTCAACTTTTCCCCAAGGAAAATGTCATCGACACGACAAAGTCTCGGCAAAAAGTTGCTCGTGCAGATAGTTCAAAATAAAAATTCATCAGCAAAGACCTGAGGCTGGAAAATAAGCGCTAACTGCACAAACTGCAGCCTCAACATTTGCAGAGAGACCAACAGCAGAAAGCTCTATGAGCGCCATCTAGCAGAGGACAGGTGAGAAAATGTGGTCAAGGGTGAAGCATGGGTTTACCTGAGCGATACGAACTATTTTCGAGTCATATGCTACCGTCCTCGCGGTGAAAAATTTTTTTTATGAGCGGTTCATGGAGTGTAAGGAAGGTTTTCGCCCGGATTCATGTTTGCTGCTGGTATTTTGCTATAATGGGAGGTCGCAGATCCGCAGAGTGGCCAAGGTCAAGATCGATTCCAATCTTACCGAGATAAAGTTTTGAGGCGGATTTTTTTCGGAAAATGATATTCCACATCTGTACGGGTCAGAGACTCCAAGGGTATCAGTGCACCAAGATGAGGCAGCGAGCCATTCACGGACGTTCCTTTTTTAGTCCCCGGCTGGAACGCCATTGAACTCATATGCCTTTGGCTCCCTCACCTTCCTTAGGAGGTCGCCGACCTCCCAAGCGAGCCTTGGGAGGTCGGTGACCTTTGGTTGTCTCAGGGAAATGTGCAAGGAGGACAAGGAAGAGTGGGGGCGCTTGGATCTCACGGGGCTTCAGAGGAAGTATCTTGGAAAGTTCGATGAGGAGTTACTGTCAAGGACTATGGATACCAGATAATCCAATAACCCATAATCCGGAATGGAGAAGGACATACAAATCTCTTAGGAATTTGTTTCCCTCGAGTGCAAACGACCTTCCATAGAGAGGGAGTTCTTTGCGAATGAGGCACGGACTGGATACCAAAGGTTTCTCTCGCTTCCGTTTTCAACGGGGAATAAGGTCGTTCTCAGAGTGCGTTGATGTTATCGTCAGATTGAGAGTAGGAAGATGAAAATGGGGAAAGGCTGACGGTCCCAAGGGGATTCCAGTTCGAAGTCTCGATGAAATTTGCCGTGAGACAGCCAATCCATTACGTGTACTTGGGGAATAGCATTTCGACAAGGGATCGGAAACTAGAATAGAATAAAATCGAATAACAAACGTCGCATCGATTTTAAAATAGAAAAAATCGAGAAATAATTGAACAGCGAGTCTCATGATTATCTCGGGGGAACGGTTCGTTCCACGGAGAGCACGACGGGATGCCTTGCCGGAATTTCTCATCGCCCATATAAGAATCTGAGCAAGGCAGGAGGAGGAGGAGGAGGCAGTTTCCGAGCCTTCACTTTCCGACGATTTTGCGATTCGCGGGGAGAAACCGTGTGTCGTCGCACGTTCAGGCTTCAATGAGGAGTAAGGACTCATTTGAAGGCGGAGAGTCCTTGTCAATGGGGGCCCGCCTCGGAGAATAAGGCCTTGAATCGCATTCGCTCTCCGTTGAGCGATCATTTCTGGTTCTCGTTGCCAGCTATTGTTTGGGGCTTCGTGGGAAAAATCGGACAATTTTCCGACGGCACGAAAATATACCTTTTTCATCGTGAGACTTTTTACCATTTTAGCTGGTGCACGAGTGATAATGAGTCACCCGAATTTCCATAATAGTCAATGAGTAATCCGTCACATTGACCTTAATAAACGACAAGTCTCTGAGAGGATGGGCTCGAGGAAGCGAACGGGAAGAGATTTAAGAGTCGATAATCGATGTCATGATCGATGAGGGACTGAAATTCGTCGAGCACGCGAAGGCGACAGTTGTCGAATCCAAAAGGATACCGGGCACGAAACGGCGTTCCGTGGCCAACGACGTCTGTCTTTCCATGGTACGCGGCATACGTGTATACAAGTTCTCGTGCAGAGTTTTACGTTCAATTTTGGAGAAATGCAAATAAAAGGGGTTTACTGATACTGGAGAGAGTTCAGAGGCGAGAAACTAGAAAGATACAGATGGTACGAGAGCTCAAGTGCGATGCGTCGGGACTGTATTCGGTGACGAGATCGAAAGTCGCTTCTCCAGGGCTTCTGTCGTGCATCAGGAATATCAGGAACTCTGGAGAACTGTGGCTGCCAAAACCGAAATTTCCACGGAGGCGAACAAATATTTAAAACTGTTTTTAAGAGCTTTTTTTTTCTCTCCTCACCCTCTCCTATGGTCACGAACTGTGGATAATGGCCGAAAGAATCGGTCGCCGATACAGGCTATTCGATTCGCTCCTTACGGCGGGTGGCCGTGGAGGATGCGGAGTGCCGCCATCCGAGAGAAACCTCCAGGTCGATCGGTGGTGCATTCGGATCGGGGGATGCGGAGCTCGTTGGCTCCGACTCGCCTCCTGCGTGCCTCCCGCATGCCTCCCAAAGAGAGTCTTCCGATCTGAAATGAAGGCAGATGGCTGGTCGGTCGGCCGCGTGCAAGGTGCAAGGACTGCTTCGCGAGTCTTCGTCGCGAGAGATTCGGTATGCCACCTTTCCGTTGCCCAGGATCCGCTAACACTGGGCATACTCGAACCGCGAGTGGGGATAAGCGGTTTCGAAAATGTATGTATGTGGTAATGTGAAAACCAATTTCAATGGTTTACCTTTCCTCAACCTCAACCTCAACCTCACCGGAACGACTTTCACATCTCCCAAAAGCGAGATTCAGTGATTTCCACAACCCCGGGGAGATGGAGCTTCTAATTTGCTGGAATGATTCTGTGTTGAGAGGAAGAAGTATGCCAAATTTCATTCACGTCGATGCTCTCAGAGAGGAATACGAGACGGTTGAATTTTGTCGCCGGAAGGGTTGAAGAAAGGTAATGGGCGCTACCACGCCCATTGATGCATGCTTGTATGTTCCAACCAAAGCCTTGACGGATCGACCGGACCTACAGTATCGAGGCAATTTGTAGCGGTCGGAGGAAGAGGTACGCGTAACATAAGAATTTCGTTCATGATCACTAATAGGTAGAAAATTCGCACGATTTCGTTTGTTCTGTAGAGGACAGAGAAGAACTCATGAGCGCGTGTTCCCTTTGAGTTCTGGGCTTTAAACACTCCATTCCAGGAATATACAAGGAACATCTTCCTTTGTCTTTCCATGGATTGCTCCGAATGCCGACCGCGATGAGGAAATCGCAGATCCTTGAAACGTTATCTTCACCTAAAATTTCAACAAAATGCGATTTTCAAAGCAGAATAGGATGACGAAAAGGGGAACAAGCTTGCTCCAGTGAGCGCCGGAAGCAGGGGCGGGGCGGGGCGGGGCGGGGCGGGGCGGGGGTTATTGCTACGAGAATATTTATTTCATGCTTCGAAAACGTGCAGCGTTTGATTTTCTTCGTTTCCTTGTCTTTTTTTTAGTGAACAGATCGCACGTAATAAGTGCCAGTATATTTTGCTGCCTCATTCCTGGTGGGATCATGGTCTACTGCTACGTCTCTCTCCTCTGCTCAATAAAAACTGCAACCAAGCGTGTCCAGAGCGCCAGCGTGCTGAAGAAAGCCGCTTCCAGAGAGAAATCTTTGACCGCGGTCAGTCGCGATGCCTCGACTTCGCCCTCCTCGACCTTGCTTGACCTCCTTGACGATGCTTGGCTTGTTCGTAGGTGGTGGTGGCCCTGTGTCTTGGCTACTGGCTGGCCTGGTTGCCCTACACGTGCGTATCTCTGATCACTGCCTTCGGCGGGAAGTCGTCCCTGGATCCAAAAGCAACCGTAATCCCGGTGATCATGGCCAAGTCGTCCTTCGCCGTCAATCCCATGCTCTACGCTCTCATCAGGCTGCCGATCACGTCAGTTCCCGTGCCCTATCTTCTTTTACATTTTCCCGAAACCGCGGATTCACCAGGCAGGCTGGGTATGATCTTCCGGAAGACCATGCACATCGTGGTCATTGTCTTCTTGGAACTCGACCATGCATAGTTCTGAGCGAGTTCGGGACTCTTGCTTTTCTGTGTGCATGCAACGCAATATCACTTTTAGCTCCAGAGGAGAAATCCTAAGTCAGAGGGCAAAAAAAAAGTATCATCTGACGGATCTGCGTCCTTGCTTTCCTCTCGACCCGTGGATGATTTGACAGCGACCGGAATTGGCAAATAGAGATACTAAGGAATTAGGTTTTGCATATTAGTAATTTAATTCTTTATATAATAACACACTATCATTCCTTTGCCACCGATGTTTCGCGGTCCCAGGCCAAATTCGAAAGGAATCAGCTTTTTTGCAAATGTGAGTTTCTAGCACGTCAACATCGCATTACGCCTCTTTAAGGGATAAGGCTCCATGAGATGTTGCGTCGTGAAAGGAATCGTGAAACCGCGAAAAGAGTCCCCACCAATGCCAATTTCATGCTATTTGCCATTTCGTGCTATTTGCCATGGTTGTTTAGCCGGCGTATGTACAGGGTGAGTCGAAAGTCACGCCTTTTGAACGTTAATTACTTCTGAACGACTGGATCTCATCGAAATGCAGTTTTCACCATTCGAAAGACAAAAACGATTCTGTATCAAATGGAGAATCGTTGCGCTATTTTTCCGGTGGTATCCTTCGGACATGAAGTTCCTGTTCCGGTCAAATCGATTATCTTCCAAAAACATGCGTAAAGCGCTGTGTCGGTTTTTCTGTTCGACCGTCAGAGGGCGTCGGGGAAGCGACGATAGTTGTCCTGTCGACATTGGTGTCGATGTCGGCGATCAACCTGCGACTGGCGGTCTCTCCGATGAATTTCTGGCTGAGTTGTCGAGCGGAATCCGTCGAATTCGGAATAATGACTGACTTTTGCAACTCGCTTATTAATGGTCGATCGTTTATCAGCGATTTTCTTGAATTCTCCACGAATTGGGATTGTTCACAGCAGGTCACGATAAATCTGGCGCTCGAACAGACATTTCGACGCGGTGCCGCAAGCGTGTTTTTACATGCCAATGCATAGAATACCCAGAATAGGAATTTCCTTTCCGATGGATACCATCGGCAGAATAATGCAAAAATCCTTCGATACCGAATGGTCAAGTCTTTCGAACCGGGAAAACCGCATTTTTAAATCAGATCTAGCGTCGAGAAGTCGTTCACGTACAAAAGATGGCCATGACTTTTGACTCACCCTGTAGGGTTTGCAGATTACGGCACGGAGTCACGGGAACAACATGGGAATCACGGGGAGCTCGGATTCCCAATTAACCACTGCCGCAAAACAAAGTTGTTTACGGTCTTTCTACGGCTCCTTGGTGGGCCAGGATCATAATTTACCGCTAACGCCCCGAAACCAAGCACTGTGTAACGGAAACATTACGATTATTTGCCACCGATCTGGAATTCGGAGGGAGTCCGGCTGATGTCTCTGAGCATCGCACAAATTGAAAACCGGGCAAGATGCGTATTGGCTGTGATTATTGGCTCGTCTGGATCTTGAGGTCTCAGAGCCGCAGATGTAGCGAGCTGGGAACGCCGACGTCTTCGGCTCGCCGTGGCGGCTGCGATCGCTGTGGCGGCTGCGATCGATGATGCAGGATTGCAACGGGGAGATCTGGGCGCTTCTCGCCCGAGAATGGAAGACCTCTTGCGGTTCCTGCGTCGAATCGAAGCGCGAAGCCGATCCCGAAGACGTCCGGAAGCCATTCGAAAGAGTTAGCGGTTCGTTTTCGGGCACGGAAAGCCTACTAAGAGAACGGCAGTCGCACCTTCGTAACCGACGAGAGCAAAGCCGACGTTTTCGGCGAAATCGACTCTCGAATGCCAATCGAGGCGCCACGGCACAACAACGTCTATATTTAGGTATGAGAAATTCGAGGACCGATTGCGGGAGCATCCGCCTCGCCCACATGCCCCTTGGGAAGCTGCCGTCGTTACCATGGCTCCTAAGCCCGGTAAAGACCTCTTCAAGCCTTCATCCTTCTGTCAAAAATAAGCCTTCTCAGCTGCATCCGTGAACTACTGGAGAGGATCATCACTAAGAGGCTCAACTCCCCGCTTGGAAGATGAGAACTTCCTAAACGGTCGACGTCCCGCCCAGCGCCCATGCCGCCACGCAGTCCCCGACGCCACTCGGGCGGCACCGAGGCGTCGGACAGAGTGTGGCCGAGGCCTGCCGCTTCTCGTCCTCGATCGATCGCGCTCGTGCCTCAGCGCTTTCGCGCCGATTCGCGTCTGAGACGGACTTGTAGTCGGACGTCCGGCGTTAAACGAGGCTCCGTCCCGACCTCCCTATCATTTTTTGTGAACGGGGACGATCTTCCCGATCCCTTCTCTGGCTGCAAGCGTCTCATGAGTTCGACGGAAATTAAATCTAAACTCGAGTAATTAAAAGAAGCACGACCGAGGACTCATTTTTCCTGTGAAATTTTTGCAGCCTCATCTGAGATTCGGAATATGGCAATTGGCAATTGGCAATTGGAAGAGCTCCATCTGAGTCCAACGTGCAACAGGCCTCACGAGGAAAACTCAGACCGGTAAAAATCAGGAATTCCTGACTTCCGTTGCACGCGCGATCGCAAGCTCTGGGATTTAACTCCTGTGTGAACCCTATGAAGAAATCCGGATTTTTTTTTGTTAACCTCGTCGTTCGATAATCGTCGTCAACGATAACTGATGCATGTCGTAACACGACTTCACTCCCGATCGACCTAACGAACCCTTTGTCGCTCGGCGATAACACCCGAAAGATGCTGTGTAAATAGCACACGATATTTGCAAAGCACGAAATGGCAAATAGCACGAAAAGGCAAATAGCACGAAATGGCAAATAGCACGAAATGGCAAATAGCATGAAATTGGCATTGGTGGGGACTCTTTTCGCGGTTTCACGATTCCTTTCACGACGCAACATCGCGTCGCAGTCACTTCGAGATTGGAATTTAAGTGAATTTCTATATCCAGCGAGTTAGATTAAGGAGGGAAAATTATCGCTCGGTGGTGTTTTACCTTATATTTAAAAAAAAAAAACTATCCGACGATGATGTTTGTTGCACCCATCGGCGCCCAGAGACGCTCATAGCCTTCAACTTTACAACGTAGGAATCAGGGAGACCGTTGCGCGCCTGTCGCTTTCCGACAGGCGCGCAAGGCCCCGGGCTGGATCGATTCCCCGCTGCAGGAAATGAGCTAGTCAAATGATCGAGTTATCGCGTCGACAGACACCTGTGATTCCCTTTCCTCCTTTCGGGCCTTATTTTCTCCTCTGAGTCGGGGAATGAAATTAGCTTCAAATCCCGTTCAGATTCTCTTCCGATGAATCGATAGTTCCCCGATACGATCGAGCACGATCAATACCCTCTGAGTTGTATTTTTAATTCCCCCCCGAACGGGTCTCGGAACGTAAATGCGTCGAGAACCGAGTCGACATCACGACCGATTAGTAAAAATGATTAGGGGGATTACGGATTTCAAAGCGTTATTCCTTGCCTCCGAAAGTCGGCATTAGTCGGAGCAACCGAGCCGATTCCCGGAATTTTCTCAACAATTCAAAAGGGAATCGGAACAAGTGTAACGGGATGAGCTAGAGACGGAAAAACCCATCTAAATCTAAATCCTAATCTTAATCTTAGTCTGAAGGGTCGGGGTGAAGAAATAGTCTTTTTGCTTTTAGACTGCTTTTATCTTATTAGCCCGTAATTAGCTCGCTTTCATAATTTCGCACTTAATCTCATTTCACGCTCAGCAATACAATCAGTTGCGTTTATGAAGTTTCGAGCCGTGCGCGTCAGGCCTGACGAGAGACACGCAGGAATCCGCAATATTCGGAAGGGCGTCGGAAATTCCTTCGATGCCGTTCGCAAGCAGAACCGATTCGTCGCCAATCTTGCGGGAATCGCGGGGAATCGCGGGGTTCGGGCCGCGATTGCTGCCGAATGAGGAGCTTCATCAGGGGTTCTCAGAAAAAAAGTTATAAGAAAAAAAAACTAAACTTTTTTCATTTTCTCGGGTGTTGCGTTATGTATGCAAATGGCGGGTCATTTATCTTCGAATTTCCATATTGATGAATCGTTTATGAGTTTGCAGAAGGTAGATGAGGGAAACTCGATATTTGTATTACTCTTGCAATATTGATATTTTTTTTACTTAGCATCTTTAAAATAATTTTTTTTTGGCATTTTGATTTATGCCCAATGCGTAATACCCATAAAATCAAAACGTGATTATGACTCTAAACGTTGCTCTATATGGCGTTCCAGGATTCTATGTTAAATAAATTATAGAAATAAAATTTTTTTTAGTGTTTTCCGATTCAGGATTTTTTCAGAATTTAATTTGAATTTTCTGAGAAAAAAAAAATACTTTTCTTGGGATTAAAAATTTTTAAAATTATAATTACAATCATTGGCATGACTTTCTCTGCATGGCTGTTCCATAAATGACAGTCAATTGCACTTATTCCAGGACGTTCGCAAAAGCAAATGTAAAGAACTTCTCATTGCTAATGGCTTCTTTTCCAGGAGGCTTTTCAGGTTTTTTTTTTTTCCCTTGGGTGATTTTTTTTTTCAGTTCCCGCAAATGTCTGAGCACTCTTCCTTCATTGTGCCTGATTGCAAGTGAGTGGCAGAAAAGTTCATCTCTATCTATTAAGTATTTTGCATCTCGAGGCAAAGGCACAAAATTTTCGGAAATTGCACAAAATGGATTTTCCCTGTGCAATCGGTCGTCACCGGATAAGGAGCGATGGAAATGAGGGGGAAAAGGCCCTGGAACGTCGAAAGGGGAGGGGGTGGGAGCTTCCTCCCAGAAATGTATTTTTAGGGGTGCGGGTTGGGCTTAATCGAGATTTCGCCGGTGCTGGGAATCCTTTGGGAAGATTCCTGGAATCCGAAACCCGAAATACGATCCCCCAGGTGGCTGATCGGATTGCTCTGTGCGCCGTCGCGGAGAAACATGAAGCATTTTCGTTTGGCAACCGTTTGGCGCGATTCCTGGCGAACGTCAGGAGGAGG